AGTAATATAATGGGTATGTTATGACACCATAGAGTGATGTATGGTATGGTGTGGTATGGTACAGTAATATAATGGGTATGTTATGACACCATAGAGTGATGTATGGTATATATTATGGTGTGGTATGGTACAGTAATATAATGGGTATGTCATGACACCATAGAGTGATGTATGGTATATATGGTGTGGTATGGTAAATAATATAATGGGTATGTCATGACACCACAGAGTGATGTATGGTATATATGGTGTGGTATGTTACGGTACAGTGATGTATGGTATGGTGTGGTATGGTACAGTAATAGTAATATAATGGGTATGTAATGACACCATAGAGTGATGTATGGTATATATGGTGTGGTATGGTACAGTAATATAATGGGTATGTTATGACACCATAGAGTGATGTATGGTATATATTATATATTATGGTGTGGTATGGTACAGTAATATAATGGGTATGTCATGACACCATAGAGTGATGTATGGTATATATGGTGTGGTATGGTAAATAATATAATGGGTATGTCATGACACCACAGAGTGATGTATGGTATATATGGTGTGGTATGTTACGGTACAGTGATGTATGGTATGGTGTGGTATGGTACAGTAATAGTAATATAATGGGTATGTAATGACACCATAGAGTGATGTATGGTATATATGGTGTGGTATGGTACAGTAATATAATGGGTATGTTATGACACCATAGAGTGATGTATGGTATATATGGTGTGGTACGGTGCCCTTAAGTGACATGCAGAGATGAATGATATGTGAAGCGTGCTGACAAAATGAGTTACTTCTCGGATCCAAGCCGTATGGAAATAGATACATCACGCTATTAGGTGAAGTTTTTACTATTTATAAGTATGGAACAATATAAGGCACGTTATACAAAAATAATGCGGCATTAATAGAAAATCTACTAATCGGACCCTATAGCGTCGACTTTTGGCCAATATTTCCGTTTGTGGATTGCGAGAAGAAACTCATTTTGTCAGCACGCTTCACATATGATGTGGCACGGTACAATAATGTATGGTATGTTGTGTCACCGTTCAGTGATGTATGTTTTAATGTGATACGGTACACGTAAGTGACATTAATATACCTGTTTGTTGACCTTACAGGGTCTGAACATTTAGTACCTGCTTGTGGACTACAGAGTGTGGTCTGAACATATACGTGCTTTTTTACCATACACTACAGTGTAGTTCGAGCATAACATACCTGTGTGTTGACCATACAGTGTGGTTTGAGCATATACCTGTTTGTCTGAACCTGTCTGAACATTTACCTGTTTGTTCACCATACAGTAATGTTTGAGCATAGACTCTAGACTCTGTACCTGTTTGCTGACCGTACGGTGAGGGTTGAAAATATACGTGATTGTTGACCATACACTACAGTGTGGTTTTAACATTTACCATACACTTCAGTGATGTCTAATAACCTACCTGTTTGTTGACCATACACGTCGGCCGGAACAACTCCGCCCTGAGCTCTGCGATTTCCTCCTGTAGCACCTGGAATCCCCCGAGCATCTCCTCCAATCCCACCTGGCTCACCTCCACGGTGACGTAGCCCACAATCGGCCACTGGCCCACCACACGGGAGGTGCGCACTACGCATGCGTACGTCCCGTCCTGGTCCAGGCCTGGTGGGGAGGGAGGAGAAAGGGTATTCTGTGAGAGAGGGAGGGAGGGGAGAGGTAGTAGAAGGGAGAGAGAGGGGTGGTGGGAGGAGGTAGAGAGAGAAGGGTAGGGAGAGAGAGAGAGAGAGAGAGAGAGAGAGAGAGAGAGAGAGAGAGAGAGAGAC